GGGTGTCGTGAGTGCAGGATAAGGAGAAATCGGATGGAGAATATTAGTCAGTCGTAAAGTTTTCCGTTCCCGTATATTCTTTTGCTTACCTCAAGGTTTGGGAGTGTTTATGCCACTTTTAGAAATCTGGAGGTCTGACAGACATTTTCTGATAGTTACTTTCGGTGATCTGCAAGTAATCCATTTGAGTGTACGGAGGGACTCATGCACCATGACATTAGGACAGTTAACATGATATTCAAAGCCTGATGATTCGAGCAACCTCTCCGGGTGGCTTTTCACAAAAGTTAGGCAACCGATTATTCAACCACACACATGGCTCTTTTATACCTATACTTCACTGCTGCGTCCTATGTTCTTTTTGACATTCCGTTGTAAGGAGTTTATCGTGAAGTATTTGGGCAATCAGCTGGAGCCACCCCCAGATAAATAATTAGAATAACCTAAACTTTATTCTTGGACGTCCAACAATGTATGTTGACCTTGTCCGCTAGGGTACAAAGTGTGTTAACCCTTCGTAGTGTGTGTTCAATCCAAATAATTGTTCAGGGGTTGAATGTGTTTGAAAGCACTTACTCATACTTCTAGTTGGATAAAACAAAGCACATGAAAAATGAGTTAATTGAGTTTACTGGGCCGCTGAAAGGGGTACAGTGTGTGACTGATCCCTTCACTCCAGCGCGCTTCTGCTGTCGTTGCGCCTTAGCACTGTCCCTGCTACGGACCGTCCTTGATGAAAAACCGGGTGACCGACCAACGTTGCCTGCACTAGCCCACCGAATAATTGGTCCTGTTGTCAAGCCAAGTTGAACTTGACGGCGCAGATACCGCGCCCCGTTGCCCAACAAGACTTGCACTATCTCGCTGACCAGGCAGCAAGCGTAGCCTTCTGACTATCGGATTGGTCAGTGTAGCCTTCTGTTACGTGCTACAAGTAGGGATTTTGCCTGCTTCTATTAGACAACCAACCATCCGTGGAGATTTGGGATCCAGAATTGCGCAGAGGGAACGATTGGGGTTGAGTGAACTGAAACCACGATCCCCTTGGGTCACCCTAATTTGACATGGAAAAAACTTGCCTTTGATACCGATGTCATTGAAAATCACATCGAAACACCTCTTGTTTTCATCTTGTGGACAACCTTTTCATGCTAGTTATAAGGAAAAATATATGGATACATTCATTATCATCCTAAATGGACTTCCGTAGAGCAGATACACAGTGAATTCGGCTGATGAACTGCACTTTCAAAAGACCGGTATGCAGCTTGTTTGAAACTCATGCTATCATCAAGTGACTGCGCAAACCAGCGCTTCATTCAACGCGTATCTAGATATTTAAGTTAACCAAAGGACTTAACAAAATTCGGTCGATGCACCAAAACTATGGGCCACACACTGCAAAACTTGCAGTAGGCTGTTTGCGAAATTCGTCCTAACAGTTGTAGAGAAAATTTTTATTTAATCTCAATGTTTTCGTCGATTTGAGATAGCTCCTGAAGAGACAAGCTGACCAGACTTCGTTCTGGCAGTGTCGACAGAAAGAACGTAAGCGCTCAAGGTTTGTCGGGATAAACAACCATAGACTATTTGGTTTTGTTCCTAGCGTTTGCAAAATACGTGAAATGCTTCGATTTATTTTACACCAAAAGGGTTGTCCCTGCTTCACGTTGTCGGTGTAAAATTTCACAGAAATTCAGCTAAGTTGCGAGCAGTCCTTTCATCTTGGTCCCCATTCGCGTGCTGGTGCCTCAGCACCTTGCATGCACTCAATCGCTCCCAAGAGACTTATCACAATGTAGCCCCTTTTGGATGCGTCCTTTCAAAAAAGGAGAGGATTAAAACCGTGGGCTCCGTTCAATGGCGGGGTTAATGGTTCATTGGTTATTCGTACGGAGAAGCTGACCAACACCGACGAGCGTCTGAGGATAATCCTGGCAGATCGGTCTTCTAAGGGCACCTAGATCCAACGGTCATGATCGCGTTTCCGATTAACGCATCTCCGTCTCTATCCTGTTACACTACAGGCTACACTTTACCGTACAAATTTACTCACCACTGGTATCGTTTTCACAGTATCAAATATTCAAACAACTTTGTGATTGCGAATGGGTAGCTAGCTTTTTCCGTGGTGAAGACTCCACACTCGGACATCCTTGCCTCCGTTTGTCAATCAAATTCGTTCGCGAGATACATTGTTCACTACCGTTCCAGTACTAGTTCATGAGAGTGTAATAACATCCGAATACTGTAGGTACCCAATGTCACTTTTGCAATTCGGTTTGCTTGTGATAGCATGTTGGAGGACTGTTGTGTCGGGCGACCCATTAGAATGCAAACTGCCTGCCACATAGTATCAAACAATTATTTGAAAATCGAAAGAAATCGGAAACGTCACAAACGAGAGATTCAGCTGGGTTCCAGGTGAGTCTCTCGCAAAACCAAATTAGTTTCCAAGTGAGTGTGTTTCGCCTCATTGGACAGTAGGTGTTAATTGAAAGCGACTGTGTTTTGGACTCTTCTTCATGTGGACTAACTTCTTTGAGCTTGCTGAACTTTGATGAGGTGCTGTTGTCCGCAACTCTTGAGTATTCATTTTCGACTCCTTAGTAAACATCTGATATTTCAGAAGTAATGCATCATTCATAAGTTTGCTGAAAGCTCTTCGACAGCCCATGCTCGATTTCGTTCTTTTTGGGGCTCATCAGGTAGAGCACGATAAACGAGATATTCAGCTGGGTGAGTCTCCTGTCAAAAGCAAATTGGTGTATAGATGGGTGTATGAATCGTACCTGCTATTTTGTTGTTACAATCTGGACGGAACATCTGAAGAGACACAAAGAAAAACAAAAAATGCAAGGGCCGGATAATCCTAACAAATCCCATGTCTGGTTGCCTGAAGCAATCGGGTGACTGTGTCGACCAGTTTTGGACCAGTTAACGGTCAGCAGGCATGTCTGCTTTGTGCGTCAGCGTATCCACTCACATCAGCGGTCCAAACGACAACAAAGCATTAAAAAACGGCTAAATCTACCTCGTAGCCAGGAAACTGGAAACAAGGTGGGCTCACAGTGACTGTTTTCATTAGCCTCCAACCAGATGACTCAAAGGTTGCACGAGAGTGACCGGCAGAAGCAAAAATGAAGTAGGGAGGATTTTGAACACATCAGATTATCCAAGTGATGACTTATGAGGAATCTACTTGGAACGATGTGAGCTGTCTGGCTGGGGGATGTATGTCACCGTATCCTACCTGAGTGGTATTATTTCCAAGTAATAACCATAACTTTTTGGGATCGAATAGCCATAGAGATCCATAGTATGCACATTGACGGTGATTGCTGTTTAGCTTTTCAGCAAGACGTTGATTTTTACTTCCAAGGCGAAATCCAGGATCAAACGAAAACAACTAGGAGTAAGTGAAAACCCGCTAGTACCGGACTCGGGGACGTTTGCTGGTTGTTGTTGATCCAATCATCGAGTTCGGTGGACAGTTGTCCAGAGTTTGAGTTCGTCTTATGCGAAGGAAAATTTCGCACTTGTGTTTATTCTCGAAGAGTCCCCATCTGCCTTGTACAGAACTACGACCGCTTTGATAAGGGGACATTCAGTCGCCTGTTGGCCTACTCCCAAACCATAGACCAAAATGCAAACTCCTTTTCGGGTCATCTCAGTCACTTGCTTAAATGCACTTGTTGCTTTTACCACCACGATCTACCGAGTGACCTACCGATGAGGCTATGTTTATTGAAAAAGTAGTCTCTCGTTCTGCACTTTTCTCTAATGCACTGAGGTTACTGACTTGATGATATTCGTCAGCCTTCAATTTAGACCACTGGTCAAGGCTACACCAGTACAAGGTGTGGACTAGTCAATGAAACAGACGCACCCAACATTCCCATGACAGTGGTTCGCGCGACAGAAGGATGCCCAGCTGGCTGGGGGATAACGGATTGCAAGGGTTTGGAGGTGTAGAAGATGAGTTATCGAAAAAGTCGTATTCGGTCACATTGTGTTATGAGACTATCTATCCGAATCTACGGGCACATCTTTTGTTGTATGTTCTATGATATTGCACATTATTATATATACTTCACATCATATCAAATTATCCGTGGTCCCTTAGCAAGTGTCGTTCAGGAGGGTGCCGATTTATTAGACGAACATTTTTGACAAAAATAGAATTCAGCTCTTTTACAACAGAGTAAAAAACTCTTTTCGAAGGAGCAACCTCACTATGATTTCACAAAGCTCATTCGAAAGTGGCACAAAGATCATCGGGTGGCTATCAGCGCCAGCTGTCCGTTAGATCCCTAAGGACTGTTGTACAGAGTAGAGACATGCTAGAGGACCGACAAGTGACGAAGTAACCTGGAATTATCCCCTGCTACCTAGTGTTGACGGTATGGAACAAGCGATCTAGAAGTATACAGCTTATTAGAGGGGAGACTACTGCGTTTCATGGCGGATCAGACCGTGTGTACATGCAATGTATCGTCGCATAATGCAAACACGGGTACCTATTTCGTAACCACACTGCTATATCACACAAGATGCTTGGCTCAAACTGATTTGGACAAATGATTTACTGTTAGGTTGTTTTTGTGATCATTCCACGTGGCAACTCTCCATAGCTTGAATCCCCCAGTAGTGAATAGGGAAGAGATTAGAGCATACAAGGAATTCCCCATATATGCCCTTTACCCCCAACTGACAGAACATGCTGAAAAATATTCGAAAAAAGCAATATAATGCTCCATTTTCAAGGATGCTATAAAAGAATGCTGATCTTTCCATTGTTTCTATTTCTAGTGGAAGGACGATGCAATAGAATGACTTAAGTAGGGCATCTTCGCAAGGCGAAAGGAATTTCTGTGTCATTTCACATCAACCTCAAAGATGTGATCGGTTTACCTACAAGCACGTGACCAAACCTCCTCACTGATAACACTGAGGAGAATTTTGAATCAGTCAATGGCGAATCAATGCAGGTTGCTTGCTTTGTACAGCAAGTACTGAGAAGTGAATCCGTTGTGCTTCGACGTCTGAGAGTGTCATGAATGAACCAGGATCACCCACATTTTCGATCGGTACGTCATCTGCATACCCATCAGCCTCTGAAAGCCAAACTTACAAGGCGAAGCCCAGAGATCCAGCCACAGAAGGATCAAAAGCCAGTGTGAAAACGGAGGATGAACTTAGTGAACTGGAAGTGAGGAATTACCTGCCGTTAGAATCTCTGTTGCCAACTCCGGAGATATGGGATCGGATGAAAGCGCATCAGAAAGCGAAACGCATCCGATTTCTTGTTATGATAAGTCTGTTGTACATTATACTGTGGATTGCACATGCCCCAGTAGCAATGTGGAAGGCATGGTCGATAGCGCGGGCTGCAGAACTGCGGAGACTGCTGGATGAAAGGCCGGGCTTAGGTCAGCCGTTGCCATCCAGCTGCATTGTGACCAGCTGTGCAGCATTGTGTCCGGAACCCACCAATGTGCGTGACTGGTACTCAATGAATGGTGTTCCTTATGCCACATTGCCACGACAAAAATCCTACTTCGCCTCAGCGAACTATCCGTTCACGTTCATAGAATGCTATCTGGCCTACTGGCATGGAGTTGCACAAGAGAAACGCACTTTTGTGAACGGACAAATTCGGTTTACTGGCAAGGAGAGATACGATGACGAATCCGAATGTGCACAGATGAAACCAAAGAATGGGAAGATGGTGCCGGTCGGAAAGCCGCAGTCTTGTCTTTCTCTCAGCTTCAAATTTCCGTGGGTTCAAAATATACAACAGCGAGCATTTCCGGTTCGTGGACTGCCTGTTGTGGCCTACATTGGCGGAAGCTATCTGATGGAGCACCGACCAAGAATGATTTCCTCCTATCTCGCTTCAGAGTTGCAAGTATTCTATGTATCGATTAATTATAGACTAGGTGTTTTCGGGTTCTCAGATTTTGGGATCGAAGGATCCGGACCAAATCACGGAGTGGAAGACGTGCGCCAGGCACTAGCCTGGATTCAGGAACACGCACACTTGTTCAACGCAGATCCAGAGAGAGTTTTGTTGTACGGAGAGGATAGCGGAGCCACTATCGTAGCTGCGCTACTTTCATCTAGTAGACAACAAACAGTGTTCATCAATGGCATGTAAGTTCTTGTTATCGGTCTCTATTCAGATTATTTAACTCAATACCGTAGGTGCTTAAGAGATATTGTGTGAAGCCACTACTAACTCTTTTCACTTTCGGTCAGTCACTCAAAATAATTTTGCGATCATCTAAAGCTAGTGATCGCTAACTTCCATGAGGATTTACGTTGGCTCCAATTAAGTTCACTGGAATTGCACTTCTCTGAACCGATACTAGATACCATGAAAAACCGAAAGCCCCAAGAGTGGGACTGACAGGTCATGTGAGCGATTATCACGTACTCTGCAACCCATGAAATACGACTGCCAGTCCGAGTTACTTCTATGGCCATCTGATGAACCCCAATAAGAGTGGAAGGCCTTCTTTGGCTGAACGTTTTGCAAACTGACTACATAACTGTCGGGGACAACTACAGAGGATGACGGTTCTGTTTACATTGGACATGTTTCTCTTTGGCCATTACTGAATTTAAACTTACACAACATACTCGACTCAATCGCACAAGCGTTTGTTTACCTCTGAGAAAACCATGTCGAAGGATCAACCAATAACGCCTCTTCGGGGAGGACTTTTGCTCAGGGAATACATTTGCTACGCCAATCGAAATCGATCCATTCTGAAAGGTAGTCTCTTTTGTGGCTGATCTCCTCACTGTGGAGCCAGTGACGTCACGCAACAATGGCTACAACCTCTGTAAACCACCATGACACAGAAAACTAAACAAGGATATCGCTAGGTGATGCTAAACTCCGCATATCACTTCAATCAGATGTCTAACATTTGATACAATTGTGTAGGCTCAACTTTTATGTGGATGGCCTTGATAGTGGAGTTGTCCCTCTTTCTGGAGAAAAGTCGATGTCAACAAAGACCAGCTTTCAGATGAAACTACATTTGTTGAGATCCTAGGAGATACTTTCAACGTTCACGATCATCATGGCAGAGATCGCCTTGCATAAAAGACCAGTTTTGGTCAGTCCCTTTAGGTTTCACTACAGGGGGCATAAATACACATTTATTCGACAGGGAATCTGTCCTATCAATAGGGCTGCAACATGCGAGAAAATCTCAGAACAGCAGGCAGAATTTCATCGAGATAGCGGTACAGTCATCGTTTTCATACAAAGTTAGGTTTGAGCAGCGCCACAGCTGATCAATGATTCAAGGGAGTACTGGGCTCCCAAGACAGGTCAGTTTTTCTTCATACACCGACCAAAGACGAATGTTCCTTCCTCTGTGTTCCCGCACTTCTAGTCATATGGGTTTACAACGAATTGCCTACAAATATTCCCAAAATTGGCGAGGTTCGTCAAGTTTATTGTCTTTGTCCTCTCTTGTTCAGTTTTGCCATCTTCAAAGAGACCCGGAATTTCGGTATCGTTTTCATATCTAGATAATGACCCGTGGACTTATACAAATATTGGAAGTTCACTGAATTCCGGAAGTGATCTCTTCTCTGAGTTTGCGTTTGCACCTTCAAAACGCAATGTACCAATAAGGGCTATCGGTCTGCCTGTCTCTTTGAAACCTCAGAGAAAGAACCTTGTGTTTGCTGACCGGTTTATGTACCTGAGTAGATGCGTGAGCAGTGATGGTGTTGTAACGGAAGTCAGTATACGCATTATCAGGACGCGGGAACACATTTGTCAACTTTCAGTACTTGAAGCTTCAGAGCCAAATTTCACCGAAAAAATCGTTCAGCTATAACACCCCTTCGGTACCTGGCTGCCATGCCACCAGGAAGCACGAGGGCTTGAATACTGCCAAGTTGCCCAAGCCTAGATAGGGGAAACCGAGGGGCAGAAGTCGGTCGGGGCCTTCCGGTCAATAAATTCGCACCCTAACCACTTGGACCACCTCGCCCCACCTCACCGAAGCACAGTATGCATCAGCTATTCGGAGAGTATTAGCAGTGAATTGCATAAGCACCAGAGCATCAAATAAAGTTCATCAGGCTATGTTAGTTGAGACATTCCACATTCTACCCGGAACTCTTAGTGAGAGGTTCGTGGAAAAAGGCATTGACGTGGCAACATAAAGTGGAGGTGGCTGCTGTCGAGAGTTATGGGATCATCGCGTCCTCCTGGTCCAGGTCCAGTTGGTTTTCCCATGGCACATGATTTATAGTCGATCCTAGTGACGACGACGTACTCACTTCTTAATCGGACTTCCTGTCCAGTTTTTCCTGGGTATGGCTTGTGTTGTTCGTTGTTCTCTATATCCGCAGTGCGATGGAACGTCTTGTGGCTGCACCGTAAGCACTGTGGATCCGCCATTGTAAAACATGAGGTGTTGTGGGGATATAAGTCTTCTACACTTCACGTGCTACTTCTAGTCCCGAGAGGTTTACTCTGCTACGAACAATCAACCAGACACAACCAGACTGATTTGTCGCGAAATACACTCATTTGGTCCTAAAGGGAGACTCAACTGGATCCAGCTGAGTACCCGAAAGCAAGTAAGCAGAATACTTACTGGCTTGGTCCGATAGCATTTCCTGGACGGTAAATTTACTTGTATTGATAGCCATGATTTCAGACAGTTGCTTGATAGAACCGTTACACCGCTTCCACGGGGTCCGTCAAAACTAGACTCCATTCCTTTGAATGGGTGGCTACTAGGCCATATACAACCAAGGATGAAATCATCCAGTTGTTTCTTGAACTGCTTAGTTAATCAACTGCAGAATGCAAAAAGGTGATCTGGTGGTAGCTCTGTCAGATGGTGTTCCTACCATACTAGGCGGTTAATCGTTTCGTATGTTTACTACCGTCACCGAAACTTGTTCCCTTCTCTTTGGTCCATCATTCGACACGAATACCAGCCCTGCAAGTTTCGGCCTATCTGAGAGATTGACAAGAAACATTTTCCAGTTCACTTCCGAGATCTGAGCGTTGGAGGTCGTATCCGAAGTTACCTAGTTGGAGCAGTGAGATACAACAATTGCTGATATGGCGATTGTTTGTCCAACTCATTAACTGCCTGCGTTTGTTCCTGCTCTTTACCAACTATATTCAAGTCTGTCACAAGTGGCAGTTTGTTAACTGTGCCAGATTTTGAAAGCCTCAATCCCATCATTGTTATGCGACAGTTTTGCTCACAAATGTATCACTCCGCGAAGAGCACTGGGTACCCAGATATGCCAGTATTATGCTGAATCACTACCGGTCGAATCGACGACTAATTACTGCGTAAATATTGACTACGTGTCGCTCATTTCAAAGACCTACTACTTGGTCCTTTGTCGCTCTAACCAAACTGCACTCTAAGTGAACAGTTCCACTCATTCGGTTAACAACGTAACTAACAATTACTTAACATAATACCGTAACATCATTTTGCCTAATTTGCCGGAATGTAAATCCGCGTAAATATCAAACAGCGTTTCATATCCGAATCAGCTAAATCCAGCAGATAATTAGCCGACAAACTTTCCCAAAAACAGCAGTTTCTCCTCATGCGCACAATACGCTGGTGGTTCACTCGCACTCCAGCCACTAACGCCTTTGATTTGATCTTTGTAATGTGATTACTTCGTTTTATCGTCACACAAACTTTGTAATTCGATGGCATTCCATATTTCCGTTTTTGAGTCACAGTCACGTAGAGTCAACCCATCCTCGAAAAACTTCACGATGGCGAGAAGCTCGTAATGATGATCATATACGTGTACAAAGTTTCATCTCAATAGATTTAAAAAGACACTGAAGGTTGGCATTACATAAGCCCTAAAAAAATAACCAATTAATCCAGTCATTTGAGTTGTGTCCTCAGGCATGAGCGGTACACGACGACAAAATTTGCGGCCATTGCGAGATGAACAAACAGAGGAAGCTAATCCGCTGGCACCCTGTTATGTTCGTTCTTGAACATACGACTTCCGCTGTGATAAGTCGGCGCTCAAGCTCATGTTCTCACCATAGCATATGGCTCTATATGGTCGACTATGTTCTTTTGGCTGCCAACGCACAGACAGCAAACATCATACGAACATATCACAATAAAAATATTTTGGATTCATGAATTAGACCGTTTACGTTCCAAGCGATGTTGATAGCTAGTGGTCAGTAAAAATACACTCCAAACAGGCTAAATCGATCGGTTGCACAGCTCGCATCCTAAATGGTAAGTGACTACTAGTGTTCGTCGTTCTAAATGACACATAGAGAAAGACGACCTGGCCATTGACCGCTGCGCTCACACACCCAGTACAGCTTCTTGGTAGGAAAAATCGTCAGCTTCTCCATTTACAGACTGCGTGTGGTGATCGGCCTGTTTGATGGTGTTTTCAATAGACAAGCAAGGATTCCTAGGTTACCAGAGCAGGAATATGAGTTTGGTTCTTATAGTTACTCAGTACAGGTAGACAAGTTGGGAAAAAGAAACCATCCTTGATATAACACTACCCATGAGGTTGATGAGTACTATTCGACAGCCCACTACCTGTTTCGCCCTTCTTGGGACTCATCAAACAAACGTGGTCTTCTAGGTCCTAACCATCTTATTTCTTAACTTAACAGTAAATTTCGGATAAGCGGAGTTCTTTGGAGCACGTATCTGAAATTAGTGAGTACTAATGAATGAAGAATATCTTTGAGGATTCTACTGGATATCTGACGCCATGTTCACCTTTATTTCATAGCCTCAACTTCCAACGTACTTCCGAAACTCAAACCCGCGTTCGCTTAGTACTGCAACCATTCGTAACACTGTACCTACCCAAATGCCTGATACCTTGTCAGTAATGCATTTGATGTGAGAGGGGTGGAATTTATACGTAGCATTGCACTAACGCATGCATTTCCTACATAGTCTCCAACACTCTTCTCAAACTCTGCTGCAATTCATAATTAGTTGGATGTAAAGAGCTTTCCCTTGTTTGACAGGGAGCATTACTAATGGCAAGGTCATAAACATTAGTACGCATATGAACTACAAAATATTCATGGACAAGAAAACAACAGCGACCTAACATAAAAGTAATCGGAGTGGATCTGAGAATTTCACACGACACACTACCCACTAGTTTACTACTTAGTCGCATACATCGATAAACCGCCCAGCGTATTAGTTTTCCGTCGTCCAAGGAATGATGCTTTTGACAGACTTGGATGCTGGTGGTTGGAATTGTTCAGCTGGTGGTCGAATTGTTCGCTGAGCTTGACAATGTTTTTTTACAGACTTTCATCGTCCATCGAGGTGAAGTCAACAATGGGTTGAGGTGACGCGGAGCAAAAGTACCGTGCTATGGCGGAAGATGTGTGATTAGAGTGTGCATCGGCATTGCAGGACGCGCTTCAGCTGTCGAAATCCTCAGGAATAAGTATTGCGAAAGTAACCGATTGTGCTTCATGCGTGTGTTCTTACTGTATCTGTCCCATGGTTGTACATGCATGTGTATAAAGTCTACAGAAGTTTCGGAGCCGAGACGATCGTCTGAAAAGCCCAAAATGGCAGCGTTTCTTACCAACACCAAACTGGCAGTCGGACAGTAGAATGAAAAGTAAGGGGGACCTAATGGACGAGTCCATAACATGCTGCAACGAATTCAAGTATGGTTAGAATGCATTGTCTGAGGGGTTACTGTTGAGTTGTCGTGCACCTGATTTTGATTTTGCCACACAGTGACAGCTTGTTCGTTGAACAATGGTGTATGTCACCTGGTCGTTACTAACCACTTCGCTGTTGGTTGTGTAACACCATGAATCTATTACCCAAGCCGTTTCTCCTACGTTCTGTCTAGTCTATCCACGAAAATCACCTTGTTGTTTGTAGGATAGCTATGCAGCGAGCCAGGGAGGGTCGATCAATGAAAAAGTTGCTTGCTACACACCACACATCCGTCCTTTGAGCCACATGATTGTAAGGTTCCGCTAATGCAAGGATTGGGTTCGTGTGAGAGCGAAATGGATGCTTTTTAGGACTTCACTATTCTCTATTCTGATTACTGTTCGCAGCCTGGTTCGGTATTCAGTATTTTGCATCGGACAGATGGTAGGAAAGTTGGAATGACAGACGGTATTAGGAAAGTGTAGAAACTCTGACCAAACATATGAAGGAAAATTCCACATGATGGTGCTGAAACTTGTAGGAAATCAAACAAGGCTTAAAACATCAATAAGTATCCGGGATTTGATGGCTAACAGTAGGATATTCGGAGAGGGGTGGCATATATATAAGGGACTCGGAATATTCTGGGTTTTCTCAATAAACAGAATGAACTAATTCAGTGATTACATTGGTTATGGAAACTAGGTTTGCGAAATCGAATCGGAGTATAACATAAGACAATACCAACGAGGGGGACTACTCCTAACCCAAACAACTACCATCTTTTGCGGATTCGATTTATTCTCATAACCCTAGAGTGAGAGGGAAGAGTGACTTTTGCACTTTATCATCGATTGCGCGTGTGATCCATTACTAACACGCGGATAAGTTATCTGAGTAAGCTTGCCAGAGTATTTGATAAATTCATCGCTACCAAATGGAATGGTACCTATAAGAAAACATCTAAGATTAGAAACGGTGTCGCGGAATGATGAAACGATGAAATCGAGCAACAAATGAGTGAAGCGGGCCTACAACTCATTAGACGTCAAAACATGAAATGATTAGTAAACATTGACCGTCGGTTTTGTTTTTTCTAAAGTCCCTCGAAGACTAGATTTTATCTTAGCATGAGACACCCTGGACTGATGACTAGAGCACCTCAACGCTGGAGCCTGGCATCACCGGACCAGGGTTGGTAGGACTAATGGGGTTGTGCGCGCAGTTTTAAAGTGCCCTGAAGGACTCATTATTTGCTTCCCTATTCTAGGGATGTCCAAAACCGAATAATTTAACAAAGCAGTACGATAGCTAATTTAGTCAGTCCAAAAAGTCGTTTTTTTCAACGGTGAACTCATTGATGTTCCACATGAGTGGCACTCTTAGAGCATGGGCTGGACGACAAGAGCTGCACGACACTGATGGAAACGTGGTGAGGCAACGATACTCAGATGAGGAACACGCTCACCCTAAATGACCTGACTTACATGCCTTATACTCGATAGCTTGAAATGTTACAAGTACTAAGACCTGGATGTCTGAAAATATAGTCTTCAACTGTGGTACCCCCTCGATGCGTAGCTACTGTGTGTCTGAGAGGATGAGTATGTACACAGGTGAAAAGATGTAAACTGAGATGATGAAACGCTGTTATGAACTGCCTACCCAGACGCGCACACAAAAAAATTGTTAAATCCGCGGACAGTAAAATAAGATGAGCCAAAATTGAATCAGAAACCACGTTGGAACTAAGAGAGACCATTCAGTGCACCCAGAGATAACTTTTCGAACTTCGAAAAGGTGGAAGGACATTCAAGATGCCGCCCGTTGTATGAACTTTTTACATGCCAGAGTTATGTACGGAACCGATACCTGTTAGAACATGCATTAAATCACTGGGGAAACATCAGGCGTTCTGTCCTTAGCGTCTAGAGATAGCCGATGAAATCAACCTATGTCAGCGTCCTCATTTGAATATCGATCACATATTGATGCCATAAGGTCATCAGTACAAGCCGCTTCTTTTCCACATTAAGATGTTCTGGTAAGGTGGAGATTTCCAAATCGCGGATTGAAACTCAGGGAGTTACGCACTTCATTCCTGAGGGAACCTGTTATACAGCGGAGCAATTCTAGTGAGGTCCTTATCATAACACCCTGTGAAAGCATAATGGAATGTTAGCGAAATACACTCATTTGCAAACAAATTTGGTTTTGCGAGAGACTCATACGGAACCTAGTTGAATCTCTCTCTTTTAAATCCGCGAAATTTGAGTTCAAGTAGAACATAAGATTGACGGAAACTCGGGGACTAAGCCTACCTGATGAGCCCCAAGAAAGGCAAAACCGGTCGTGGGCTGTCGAAGGATTTTCAGCAATCTTATGTGTAGTGTATTGCGTCAGTATTGGGACATATTAATATGGTAGAGTCAATGTGTGATTGTTTTGATTGACAATACGATTAGGTGGAGCTACAAATCAACATACAGCCAAAAAAATCGGTGCTTGATTTGATAGTCATAAGTCTATCATGTTCCCTGTCTCCCCTCACCCTCAACAGACCGAAACGCCTATTCACACATGCATGGATTTCGGACGGTTCCGTTGTCATACCCGATGTGCCTGCGTCAAAAGATGCCTTCCGCGAAATGGTACTGAACGATCCGGAATTGGAGAAGATTTGTCAAGAATGGATAGCTGCATATGGACAAACGGCGAAGCCTGCGCGCAGTCATCCGTTGGCCCAAAAGTACCATTGTTTGTCAAACGTGAGCATTACCAAGTGGCTTGAGAAAACGCCAGTCACCTGGCTCCATTCTCGTAAAGTTGATCAGACTCTGTTACCAAGGGCGGATGAGGTTCGATCCTCAATGATCAAACGCGAGCCGATCCGAACCCTCGTCGAGAATCCTTTAGGAATGTTACATCCGAAAGGTGAGATGCAGACCAGCGGCGTAGCTGATATTCCATTGGTCATATTCTCAAGCATGAATCCAGCGTACAATATGAGCAACGCAATTGACAGTCCGGATTATTGGAGTCTCAGTGAAACGGAAAAGCAGGTGAAAAACACCTTGAATACATTTCAAAAACCGACGTCACAATTACCGTACGCAGATGGTATTTGGAATGCTTACCAAATGTACCTGAACAATCTGATCGCATGGAGAAAAGAAGACCAGGCTCCCAACGAGATCAATTATCGAGCTCTGTACGACACAATTCGAACTGACCTAAGGGGGACTTGTGCTTACAACCTATATGCAAAACACATGCAGTTAGGCGGGCATATACAATTCGGACCGATCTATCGAATTCTAAGCAGAATCAGAAATCAACCATACGTGGATGAAGATGGTGCTCGTTGTGATATTCCTTTCTTCTTGATCGATAAGCATTTTCAGTGCGGCGAGGAGACACAACCAGTCTACGAGGCCCTGGATTCGGACCAGAAGGAAGTGTTGATCAGAGCATTCTTGCAATTCGCCTACTACGGACAGATACTGGGGGCTATAAAAATGCAGCTCTCAACATACGCCGGTGCTCCAGCTCTGGAGACCACGTACAATGTCCTGAGCGAGCTGGGACTGACTACAGCAGGTAGTCGGGAGGTTGGTATGCTGAGTGCCTGCAAAATTTGGGTATCTGAAGAAGGCGAATTCGGGCATGTGATGAAATACGCGAGAATGAACTAGGAGGGACAGCGCCTATGCAGTGGAGTTTTCCGCCACAACAGGTTCGAGCTTGCTACCTTTGTTTTATACTTAAGACCTCGAATCCATTGGGCGCTGCTAATGTTTTGCGGCAATGCGATAAACGGTTTTTATGATAAAGGAGTTTTAGGACGAGAAGAAACAGATCGTTTGGCGAAGAGCATACGGATGAGCTGAAAATACCCAACAACAAATTCACAAGTAATGGTTAGGAGGTAGAGTAGATGCAGCTGCAGTTTACTCTGTGTGTATCACCTAGACTGTCGCTGTGCAACAAATGCGGTATAATTGAAACAAGGACACATAGAATCCATGTGGATCGATCAGCTAACTTGGATGCACCAGCTGGGTTTTGTGGGTATTCCCTTACACTAGCAGTAGGTGGTGACTTCAATACAGATTGAAGAGAGTGGGAGGTCAGAGGAGCCTTCAGGTACTTGAAGTTTCCCTAAAATTAAGATGAAAGCTAGAGCCGTTGGATCAACAACATGGAAACAACGCTTCTGAAAATGATGGACACATGCGAAAACCTAAAGTTTTAGACATGCAAGAAATCATGTAGCAGTGCGGGGTACACTGGAAAAACAACTTGTGTTTATTTTCGCTGCAACAAAGAACACGCTCGCGAGGCCATTTATCTAGCAGTTTACTCTAATAACAAACTATGATAAATGTTAGGTCATGTTTGAAAGAATAAGTTTTTATAACCTGAAGAATTAGCTCTGTATGACTCAGTTTGATGAACTAGGTTTTTAATGTCGATCAAATTGTTGAAGTTGGAGAAAGTTGCTTTACCGGTATTCTAAAAACAGTCGGAATAACGTGAACGTAAAGGAAGAAACCTCTAGCGCAAGTCTGTGATGCGAGTCCACTACCGTCTGATGCAGCATTTTAATCATCAAACATTCTGCAGTTTGCATGACAGCTATGCATCGCAAACCCATCCCAGCCGAGCGGTCTTTTAAAAGTCCGACTGAACGATGCGAGTTATTCGGTTTGAGGGAAAGGGGGTGAATCAGAATAGGTTCGAACGTACCGTGTAGCATCTGCAACCAACGCACCTTTGGTGAGTCGCGTATAGCCGATAGATCGAAGTGAACCACAGGTTTGGCAACTGAAGGTACACGTGTGAGCACGTTTACGTGTTAAATGCTCCGGGTGCACAGAAATCTACAGTGGGGGAGTACTCAGCCACATTTTGCAGATCAGGTGGTCGGAGTTTAAGCATAAGGCACGATCAAAGAGGGGCCTTAATGATGAGGATGAAGTTTAATTGCATTGTTGTGAGATATGGCTTCAGTAGGCGGAGTCAAATGTGTAAGGAGCATAGCTAATGAGTTAGCGGCAAAAATAAATAATCCAAAACCTGGGATTATAGCTGTCTCACTTGGAGAGTACATTCTATACGTAGGCCGCACCAGCTAATCACACGTTAAGAATATCGAGTTGAAGACGCTGCAAGATATGGGTGCTAATCGATGTCAGTGGCGTTCTTGCTGTCAGCTTTTATCCAGATTGCCTGCGAGTTTCTAGAGGTGTATGCACCTCGGAATGATTGTAGTAAGCTAGCACCAACTCCCTTCCCCGTCCACCTTCATTCCTTTCTTCACAATAGGGTTTTCAAATAAATCATGGTCGCACGGCAGCGAAGCATGCGTTGGACGCTGATGTCAAGCTGTTGCTTAGATATCGAGTCGCTTATTGAACTGTGCTGTTTTCCGCACAAAGAGGCATAAATAGCGAAGAGAGAGAGACAGAAGAGCACAATGATGGTCTCACCGTCTCCTCAGGATGAAACCCGCGTAACTTCTTGAGCATAGATATACTTAAAAAGTTCTGTTTATCAGCTTATGTACCGATAGTCTCAGTGAGTGATCGGAAATCAAGAAACATAGAACATCTAAGGGGACGCACAAATTGGCCACCCTTTGGAAAGTCGTAGCATACAAAAGAAGCCTGATGAACTTAGAAGTACACAATTGACTGTGAGCTATCGAAAACGTTGTCTCATCTAGAAGAAACAACAGATGATGGCTTAAATCACACAGAACGTCCAAGGACTGTTGCGGCTAGCTTGTGAATAGTGTCTGGCTGGGTACTACTAATTACGCGAAATTCTCTCCATATGAATGTTCGTGTAAAATAGACGGAACCGGACTTGATAGATAAACATAATCACATGCCAAGATTTCATGAGATAGAACGTGTCATATCCAAAACGGGGTATACGAAGGACGACAGTGCTGGAAGGCAAAGTATATTCTCGATATTCCACAGCATAAAAGTTTATCAAAGCGCACTAAAGTAACAAACAAGTATCAGCCGGGTGTGTCGCAGTTATCACAGTGTTGGACCAGAAAAGTTATTGGGAAGTCGTATCGATTGACGCCAGGCACTCTCTAATAGACCGTACTGAGCGTCAGGGGTGGATGGTTCGCAGGGCGTTAGATGTACTTCTGCAACCAGAGCAGACTGAGACGGATGGTTTGTCGAATTCGTATTGTCGGTGCAAAGTTCGAGATGTGGTGTATCAGGAGCCGAACGAGTTGTACCAGCCTCTGAGAGATATAGATAAAAGCCACGTGATTTCAGAACGTCTGAGGCCGTCGGCAGACAACGTAAGGCTGATCCTTCGTTAAGGTGATCAACTGTTGATACATCGGGTTTAGGGACGACGTGGTCGATTTCACTGAAGGGATTCACCACGCTAGCCGATGCGGTCGGACTGGTGCCGAACTGTGGAGTAGGCATTTTCTTTGGGTGTGCTTGTTGAATGTGGCGTTGAAGATTATACCTGAAGTAAAGTTAGCAACCAGCATCGGTGGATTAAGGTGTACGGTCATTTTCTGAATGTCTGATTAGGGTAAACAGATCTACATCTTTCATGTAGAAGTGGCAAAATGGCCACATGATTGTCTCCCATTGAAACTGATTTTCCAATATTTCGCAAAGATATACGGAGGTTCTGATGAACAATAGGCCAGTACAGATTTTAGCCGTGGCATTTTACAATATAAAATGGCCGAATCCGGGTTCGAACCGCAACGTACCAAGCTAATTACCAACGCCCCACATTACTACTACATCAGGTCCTAGTTATGGCAGATTGGCACCAGCAAATTCGTGATGAAATGACCAAAAATGGTTATTTGGTAAGGTATTGGGCGCTTCATTCCACACCAGGCAATGGTGGTGTGACCACATGCTATGCAAGCCGAGTTATAGTCTAGCGAGAACAGCGAAGTTTTCCACGCTAATTTCAGAGTCCTGCAAACCAGGCGCTTGGCGAAGTATGACAACAGAGGAGAACGAAGGAAATTACAAAAAGCATGAGTGTTGCCGACGTTGCTTTCCCTCAAGGACGTGTTCCTCACTACCCGGGAGGCGATCGGCTGGAGGCATTGTCAGATGTGGTCTCGGGTGTTTGCAGTAGGCGTTTGTCTAGATAACTTAGCCTTCCTGTACGAGAGTTAAGCACCAGCTGGTGTTGCTTCCAATGTCGCTGGTGTTGTTGTACGTAAATGTCTTTTCTCCAGGATAACAGAATATCACCGTGCTTGTTCAGGGCTAACACGGAAACATTTGAGGCCAGTGAACCATAAGATGAGTGAAATTTCGACAGAGATTGGAATTTTGTACCCGTACATGTTTACGAGGGCAAAACACGAAACAATATGGCAACACGAAGGGTAGAAAATTTTGAACACCGTCTAAAAGTCAAACGAGTATAATCAACTCGCTAACTCTCGATGTATCTGACCACTGTTGGTCATTTTAGAACTACAGCTTATAAAGTAAGTTGTTAAACGTGGGCAGAGAAAACGAATTCCGTTCAACTCCCAGTGAGAGTGTACGGAGAGCCTTCCAAAAGCCTCCGTACGCAAAGCGGTGTCCGTCAGGGATGCCCACTCTCTCCATTCCTTTTTAACTTCGTGATTGATGAAATAATGAGACGAACGCTGGACGGCCTTCAAAACCCCGGTGTTCAAATAGCCTGTGAAGAAAACCTTGTCGATCTGGAATATGCAGACGACATCTTTCTCATGTTCAAAGAGAAGGAGAACGAGCAGGTGTTCTTGGATGAACCGACCAAAGTCATTCCGTCCTTGGTATGCGCTTTGCACCCACAAAGTGTGAGGTCTGGTTGGTAAACCAACCAAAACACACGAGTTCCAACCAATTCTGGCCAAGTGCGGGACCTAGTTAAAGTGGTCTTCTCAAAGAGATCATCCTGGAGATAGATAAAATCCCTGGTTTGTGACAACTGAATTTCCCTTAGATCAGACATGCATTCTTGAGTGGGCTACAGACTATAAGACCAATCCTCTACACGAGAGCTAGGCAGCACCAGAAATATGTACTGAATATAACCAGTAGAGCTAAACTTAGCTTTTGAACAGCTGAGCTGATCATTTTGAAATGGGAATTAGTTTCCATGCTAACAGCACTCGCACTTCCCGATTTGTGAAAAAAGTGGCCCCTGTTGGATGGCAGTTGGTTTAAAACTCCTGAGATTTTCGGATTCATTTCTCTTGACAGGGTTATCATTTTCCCCAACAACCCAATGGGAAAGTTCGCGAGTCCGGAATAAAGTGACCCCTTGAGGCGGGTGACCCTATTCGAGGGGATGATTTCAGTTGCGTCCGGACATGGGAGTTCTGCTCGGTGGATAATGATGTGAATACAAACCTTACAACAAATAAGGGATGGTCTCCTAGCCGCAAGAGGTTGTGCCGAACACCAGATTTCCATGGAGATAGTCTCAGGTCTTCAACGTGAGACAAATTCCCGAACTCACTTTAGTAAGGCTCCCATAAGAAGATCAAACTCCACTGCACTCGAGCCAAATATTCAGGTTCGCAGATGTACCTCGCGACACAATAGGTGTGTATATGGGAACCAGGCCATAACTGAGTTGTTCGATTGAAACCCTCACCGTTTGAGGCACCGAGAAGTAATTCTGAGACCAACTTTGCACAGTTCAGACTGAATAATAAATAATTTTATTTGTCCGACCACGTCAGTTTCACCACAAGTCGCGTCCAGGATTTGGCTGACTGCTACTCTCTTATGAACGCACCGGTAATCTGCTGTTTCCATTGACTTATGATTAGACCAGAAAACAAAAAAACACCGTATAACTTTTGAAACTATGAGATAATGAACCCACCTGTTTAAAAACTGCTTTTTACACAGGGCACATTGGGATGACGTTGCTTGATTGTGAAGACTCAGAAAATGTTTTGTAAGGTTTCCTTTTGTACTGAACGAGACACCTGTAAAAGGCGAAAGCAAAGAAATGGAAAGGCAATACAAAATGGCGATAGCGACCTTAAGCAAGCCGCCCCAGTTAAATGGGAGCTGAAATGGGCGACAAGCTGTCCTTTATCAGAGCCGTAACTAAGTGCAGTGCTGATTCCAGTACCCCAATGACGAAGAATTTTCTAACCAGGAAGTTTTATCACGAACAGACCGGCACAGAAAAATGAACACGAACATAGTGGTATTAGAAGTTGAAGTTTATCTTTGGATCCATCCAGTTGGTGTCGGATTGTTTCCAGACCTGTCTGGAATTAAGCACGAAACTCATGAGGAACATGGGAATATTTGAAACTTACTTTTGACCCCGAATTCGGGCGGTTCGATTGACTTCGGGTGTTTTCTAGAACAAGCCTGAACTTTCTAGCATCGTCATCTGAATTGGATAATTAGACTCCTAAACAATGGCTATAGTGATCCGGAGATTCGGTAGGCTTTTGGTGTGACTTTGGTGAAGTTGCTGTTTACCTTCTGACATTCTAGGATAATATTCCCAGCATTCAGGAAACAGAAAATCAGCCGCATCAGGATTGACTGGAGTTATGAAGAATCTTGAAAAGTCCGCTAGCAAAATAAAATCCCATGATTTTCAGAATATTTCTAATGGAATTTTGAAACTTAAGAACATGCAGGCCGGTTTCCCCTGATTGGGACAAAGCACTTGGCTTGATCCGAGCGAAACAGTAGGGCCGGGGGGGGGCTTTGTAAACAACCGTATTGCTCATTTGGTTAACTCAATTAGGAATAACCAAGCAGCACGAATTAAAAGAAGACCAAAGTGCTTTGTTGCAACGCAGGTTCCTTACAGGAAGAAAGTAGCGAAATCACATAAATACGAAACTATGCACAACTCACCACATTCAGGACACATTAGCCTATATGGACGATGGACATTTTTACGATGTTGTTGATACTTTCCAGGAGTCTCAAGTTCCATATTGCAATGCTGGCGTGAAAGAGAAGAGCGTGAAGGAACGAGAGCAAAGGTCAAAACCAATTAAGGAGCGAAACGGATAGAAAGTTAAGTCACCCGGAAAGATAAGTGCCCAACGATAAAATTCAACGACTACACCGTCCTTCTAACAACCTTAAGCCCATTACTTTGAAGCTAGACAACGAATGTGGCAAACATACTTTGATCTGATAAGTGGCAGCTCTAAACACTTACAAAGATGCAAGGAATCGAGAAAAAACAGATAAATAGGCCACGAGAAAATTAAATGGACATTGTGATAATAAATATTACCCGAAGTACTCATCGACCACATCCATTCAAATGGGAATATA